TCCTCTAACAAAGCCTTTCTGGTTGCATCTATTTCTTGTTGTTGATGGTCCGATCGGCGTCCTGCAATGCCCCTATTTCAGACAGACCACGAATCCCACGAATCGCCAGGAATAAACAAATTTCGGGATTCGTGAGATTTTGCAAATTTTCTGGCCTAATTCGACACGCTCTACGATTCAGTTACGATACAGGTGCGATAGTGTTATTCGGCTGGAATCGCACGAATATGGTCAAGAATGCACGTTTGGAATCGGGAGTTCGTGGCCAAAATTTTGAACAGCTCAAAATTTTTGCCACGAATTCCCGATTAATCAAGAATTGCAAGAACGACTACGATTTTATACGAATCTGTTAAGAACTTCACGAACTGATTACGATTCAACCACGAATCCGTAAATTTGTCAATTCCTGGCGATTCGTGGGATTTGTGGTCTGTGTGAAATAGGGGCATAACACAACCATTTTTCGCTCGGCGAATGTGGACAATACCGCCTGCGATGCTGCTATTGTGTGCACATCCTAGAGCGCATCCCTAACACTTGCCCCGACGTCAATTGACGTGTTTGGTTGAGTAGATAGAGCTTACTTGATTGCCTGTCAATCATTCTGGCAGTGCTAGCGGTAACCCCTTGAAGTTACTAACAGGAGGTGAAGTTGATACAAAAATAAGATTTTCTGACATCCAAATGCATGCAAACAAGCTAATGTCATCCGGCAATAGAGTACCCATCTTCGCGATTTTCAGAACGATAACAGGTAAATCTGTCAACAATTTAATTCGCTATTCTGGACAATTAACCTCCCTGAAAGGGTTTTTGCTCGTTTTCTCCGCTTTCAAGATTGACGAGATAGCGTTATCGGAGCAAGCTATTACTGTCTACCTGTACACCTGAGGGAAACCAAATTCACCATGCTAATTAAGAAAAGTATGCACTAAAAGTGCTTTTAAAGAAATTTTGGTTGATCCTCTCTTTTCCAATTTATTGACTTTGAAAGTGAAAATTCCTTAATATTTTGACGTAATTTCACGTTTTTTATAGATAAAATCAACAATAAGTCTCTAAAGAAAAATCCCCGACTCCCTTTTGTAGTACTTTGTTCAAGTGTTATAATACCATTAAAAGCATGTTTATAGCTGTCCAGGTGCCTGAGAAAATCAGGTGTTTAAAATGGTGTTTTTGTCCCCAAAATCCCAATATTACGTCATACAATGAAGTAGGAGCTGTGTTCCAAGCATAATTAAATGTTTTGAAGATACATTAAATGAATATGACTGGAATAAAAAAGCTAAGACCTTTATTTTAAGAGAAAATCTCTAACCTACATTGCCATCTTAATTGGAATCATGCACTAGATTAAATTATAATTTTTATCACTTACTGGAGTAATCACAGTTGTGACAAGCGTGCAATATCCGATAATAAATGACAATAACGACTTTCTTTTAGGGTCTTGGCGGTTCCAGGACTTCCTTAGGCCCGAGCTTGAGAGCTTACGAGGGCGTTATGGTGTGAGTTAGGGTGCTTGTGAGATGTAACTGTGTAATAAGCAATAATAATTGATAATAACGGTGTGTAATGAAGAAGTTAATGATTTTACCACTATTTGTGATTTGATAAGGCCAGAGTTTGGCGCTAGCGTCATAGAATGATTTTATTTCCTTCTTAATCAAACACGCCTGTAGGTACCACGTAGAAAATATATTATGGTTTCCATTAACAATGTGTCAGCTAAGAAAAGCACCCTCCATAGTCTAAAGATTGTCAAGTCAACAGAAATAATATCTAAATAGCTCAAAAGTTATACATAATAGATGTTGGGATTCAACAACCAGGTTCTGGTATTCAGTCAACCAGCAAATCTGTCTTTGCGACAGCCACACACATAGTGCCACTGGTTCATAAAATAGTAGCGCCCAGTTAAACGACACAGGTACCCTGGTTGACAAGTACTTGCATAGCATCTGAAGGTCAACGGAAGATGGATACACGATTCGCCTCCAACAGCGAAGGTGCACAGTAGGAATACTGTAAACACTACGCCCTCCCAGCCAGGTCGGGTAAATATCTGCATGACCGTCTCTGAAATACAGAAACGTATAGGGCAGCTGATTTTAAGCTAAAGTATTCGGAGGTAAGCCCAACAGAACAAAAGAAAATGACGTCAACGTCCCATTCTTAACGACCACATCTGTCCAAATGGACAATCCTGAAATACTGGCATAGGTTTGGAATTAGAAATATCTTGCACTTTTTTCTTTATTTTTGAGTGTCACTAAAAGCTACGTATAATTATATAGGCAAAAATAAATACAAAAATCTTTTCAGACAATTTGCCCGTCTACTTTTTTAACCAAACGCCGTGTTTGAAAATAACATTGAAACTAACAGTTGTACATATTTCATATAGCCGTATCCTTTTTTTTTAATGTCCCATTTCGGTTCTGTTTGATTTAATACAATTTTCTTTTGTAGTTTTTTAAAAAACGTTTTTGTGTTTACACAAGCTTCAGTAAATAGTTGGCCTATATCACATTTGCATTATAATTTTTACAAAAAGAAAAAGACAAAAGTCGTATGTATGAAAGTTTGTTTCCAAAGCCACCAGCATTGAATTCTACACCTCCATCACGTACATAAATAATGAATGATATTTTGCAAAAATAAAAATGACAGGGTGACATCTGAAGTCATAAAAACAACGTATGGAAAAGGACAGAAACAATTTTCAATTTGAAGATGTAAAATTTCAACATCAAGCGTGACGTATACTGTCTTTTCTTTTTCCTGACACATGTTTGCCCAAGACCCCATTCCCACATATTCTAGATCGATCTACCCCAGTGTGCCCTGAGTGTCAGAGCAACGTAAAAGCTAGCTTGCTAAATATACCTTGTGGTGGAGTCGCTTTTACTAGAGCCTGGTATTGCTACTATGGGTTATAATATTATATGAAATCAAGATCGAGCTGGCAATACCGGAATCTAGAACCTAGGGTATCCCCGTGGGGAGTCTCACTAGATTATTGTCAGATAATCCGGCTTAAATGTCCGTGCCGCCTACTACAAGCTGTAAGGGGGTAATTAACTTTCGTGCCCGCTCGGCTGACAGCTATTTAGCGTGAACCCCCAGGGAGTTAGGTCGATCTAGTTGGATCGATCCTATCTCTGGGAATGGGGTCTAAATCTCTGGGAAAGCGAGATTGCAGTTGGTGTGGGGTCCGGCGAAGAGGGCGCAGAATTAAGGCACAACAAGATATCCACATACATTTAGCTGGCTAATTCTATACACTTTTCTGAACTGTCCACCGAGAATTTCCAGGGCCGTAGCCTGAGCAAAATGCCAGGGGGGCAGTAAGCGGACACGAGGGGGCGAAGCTACCGAGGGGGGAGAGTGTGGTGTGTAAAATTCCAAATTCCAGGGGGGGGCAGCTGCCCCCCCTGCCCCCCCGGAGGCTACGGCCCTGATTTATCTACAGGGGTATCATTGTACAGCTGGTCTCTATACAGTACCTAAGCTGGCTTACCATCAGAAGAATTACTGCCAAGGCTTAATAAGAAGACATTTGCATGATCTGTAAGGTACACACTTACTAAAATGTTATAATATTTCAACACAATGTAACATCTTCGGTTTCAATAAAGTCAAACTAAAAAACATACGGTGACGTAAAGATGACTTTATAGATATCTGAAATTAAGTGCGACTAAAGGAGGTTTCTGTCATGGCTAAAACGCGCGTACCGTTTGTTCCACAGAAAGATATTTACCTTATCTGGTGAAACCACACGGTGGGAAAAGATGCACTTCACTGTCCAACAAAACTGTCAAGCGCTCTCGCTCTAACGCAGGGAGCGTGCGCACGCTTACAGCATCTGAAGGCTCACGTGACCACTTTAATTGAAAAAGAAAAAAGAAGTAAATTTGCATAAAACTTTATCTCATTTTTGCCAGTAAGCCTATTTGTACCAGCTATTTAAGCATCGAAGTCGGCCCATCTGTAGTCCATCAACTCAAGATATGGTGTGCAACATGGGATACCTAAAACCAAGACCAATCATGAAAAGTTTGTGGTGTTTAAGGATTTTGGCCCACTATTGTTGCTCCAATTTGAAAATGGCGAGAAGCGGCATATTCTCTTTACTAGTATGATCTGCAGATATACACTATACGGCTTGATAAATATATAATTTGTGCAATGTGGATTTGACCAAAATATAACATGACTGCAGATAAAATCTTTATTTTTTCTTGAAAAAGGGCTTCATTTTAATCATACAAATAACTGTCATTCACAGCAATTTAACTGGGACAATGTTACAGAATTTTTTGGTCTTTCAAAGCTTTATTTTCACACACGTGAAACTGACTCAGACTATAGGTCTACAGTAATTAAGCCAGCATTTCAAAAACTAGCACACGAGACTATACCAGTAGGCCCCTACAGCTTGAATGGGTCACAAGTCACAGCGATATTTAGCAGGGAAAATAATATTTTGTGCATTAAAAATTTTGAAAGTTTTTTCATAGAAAAGAAAGGCGATAGTATGTAGCATTAGGCCTATATGCTCTCTTTCATGAACAAAGAAAAATATAATTTTTTTAGTTTTTTGTTAAAACATCATTCTGTATTTCTTTAGAGCCCTAATCCTTTATGTATTTTATTATTATTTTTGCTGTTTTGACTATCACTAGAAAGTGCCAAGTAATTCACTGGAGGCTGGCGCAAGGGTTCACTTAAGTGTACCAGTAGATCTACTGTAGTAAGTACCGGTAGGTGGGGTAAAAATAAATAAATGAAAATTGAAAATAAAAAGAAAAGTTTGATTTGAAAACCATCATGTACTGGTTGCCTGTTATCTAACTGGATGCGCATGGGTTATTCTTTTTCTTTTCCAAGAAGATTCTATGTCGCAATGACATATGATATGCCTATCTACAGAGATACACTTCCCCGGCCGATGCCTTACATTGGAACTCTTCAATCGCGGAGGAAATAAAAAGAAACCAGGAAGCAAATCATCACATGATTTGAAGCGGACGATGTCAAAGAAGAAGTAGGGTAAGAGAAATTCTTCAGACGAAATTGTGGTTATGTCAGCCACTTTTATATACCTTTGATCTGTTTCTGATCTTGATGTCTGTAAAAATTGACTATCTCAACTGAGATAACAGTGAAACATTACCCCATGTTTTTGGAACTTCGCTGAGACAGTACGACTGTACTTATTACGGTATTTATAAAGTGTTTACACATTGGGTGCGTTTTCTGCTTCACGGACAGTGCTACAAGCACATTTCTTGTTATATCAAAAGGTAAAGCACGTGCCCCATGCCTTCATTTCTGGGCTGAACTAAGGTATATGCAAGCAGTGCAACGTATTAAATGATAAAATTTTAACCAGTGGGGGCACAGTGCACGTGTGCATGTAGTTACTGGTTGTATTCAACCTTCTGAAATTATACTTTACGTGCTATATTATCCTGATTGCTTAACACAACAGGGGGATGACCTCAGCTGACAAAACTTCATTCAAGTTGTGTGCAGTGTTTAGGACATGACTTCACCAAGTTGGTCTGAGGGGGAGGCCGTGAGCTGCATGTTGAAGTATGTAGAGAGAAGACAGTGGCTGAAGACTGCAGAGGCAGCAGAGAGGGCTTACTGGGAGTATCAAGCAAAGCGGCAGTCTAAAGATCAGTTAGAGGATTCTTCTGGGGTTTCCTTACCAAAAGGTGAGTTTACTGAATGTGTTCCTGAATACTGTTAATTGTTATATCAGCAGTGCCATTGAGTTACTATATTTTTACATACTGGTACTGATACTTGTACTCTGTTAATGTGATGATATAAAACCAGCATTAGCCTTGTAGAAATAATGCCTGTCAGGACAGTGTGTGTGGTAATATTATTATAATGTGGTAAGAAACACTAGGGATGTAAATTAAAAATCAAAATTCAAATTAAGTCTTCTGATTAAAATCTTGTAGAGAGCCCTGCTGAGGATCTTGTCAAGGAGCAGCCTGAAGACTCCAAGGAAACCAAGGAGATATATCACCAGGAGACAGATGACAGAGTGCCTTCCATTTTACCTGAAGGGAACAGTAGTCAGTTCACAAGTATGAGCAGCATTGATTATGATGAAAAAGATGACAGAAAAGATCCAAAAGGAGATGCTGAAGAAAACTCGATCAGAGACAAAGAGAGCTGTCATTTGTCCTCAGTTGATGGCTCATTTATAGAAGAAGAAGCTTTACAACCTGTTGAGATTTTTGATAAGTCTTCATCTGTAATTGAAAGTGGTGTCCTAAGTACTGTAGAGCAGTGTATTGACAATAGTGATAGAACAGAAGACAGCAGATGTGTGCAGGGGGATTCTACACAGCATCTGACTGTGGCCAGAAGTGATGTGATAACACCAAATGAAAGCAATCACCTGTTTAATGGTCAGTCAGTCAGTGAGGGCGAGCCACGTCAGGTTGACACTGGTCAAAGCATGTTACATGTACCACCAACCAACGAGGACATGACTTCTTCTGGGGACTGTGGGATCACTTCATCAGAGAATGGCCCTTCTGTTGAGTTTGCAAGTCTTGAAGCAGGGTGTATTCACAAAGTGGAGGGCTCTCCACCAGAAGGCAGCACTGTCTCCTCAGAGGGACAGATTCTAAGCTCTTCCCAGGCTGAGGAGGGAAAACTAGTAGAAAATAGAGACACTGAGAAATCTGACAAAGCTACTCAAACAAAATTAGAGCTGAAACATTCTTCAGAAGAAAACTGCACTCAGACAAACATTGTGTATGAAGAGTGTTGTAAGTGTGGAGTATTTGCTCTACCTGTAGATGTACAGGTAAATATATACACAGAGTCTATGATGAGTTTTAATACTCTTTATGGACAAGCCTGCATATGTTTTATTCTGATTTGCTTGTCAGTGTTGTAGATCATCAAATAATACCTAAGTAATTTTTACTGAGGATAAAACATTTTTAAAACAATTAGGCTGAAGTTATGAATTCGTATGTCACATTTTTGTCCTGATTAGACAGAATGATGATACATTGTATAATTGACAGATATTGATATCTTAAAATATGTACTCTTTTGTGTGACATTGAAGGTTGGGAACAAGTTAAGAGAGGAAATAAGCCAAAGGATGACCCTGGAAAACCTGGTAAAGATAATAGAGAGGGAGGTGGTTGGTCTGAGGCAGGAGGTCATGGTGCAGACGGGGAAGGCAGCTAAACTGGAAAACACTATTTTTGATTTGAAGGTAAATGTGACAGTTTGAAGAAAAGGTAGCTAGGACCTCAGGGGCAGATCCAGAGATATTTTCTGACAGTCTTCCAAATTATCTTTGTTGATCCATTCTCCATTTTTGACTGTCTTCAGACAGAAAAAATTAGATGCACGTTGAAAACCCCTGACATCTTCCAGAAGACCCAGAAAACAGCCTCCATCCACCCCTGTGGGTGAATGTCTCAGATACTGTTCAAAACTAATATTTACCATCTTTTTATTAAATAATCAATTCATTAATTTTTGTGGTAACATGATAATCTCACTACCAGTAATACTGCTGTAAGGAGACCTTTTCCCAGTATCACACCCGTAGTACCACAATATTACTACAGAGTTCTAGCTTGCCAACAGTTTATTAATGAAATGAAGTTTCTTCCTATCATAAAACTTTGATGCCAAATTGTTTTCAGATTGTCTTTTTAATAACCATCTTTTAGGCAGGTATTTTTTGTACTAGTAATAATGATGATAATAATAATAGTAATGAATTGTGCTTGCTATGATCATGTTAAATAATTTTACAGATATTCAAATCTCACAAAATGTTTCCTCTATATGTACTTTAGGCTGAAATAAGAAGTGAGCAGCAGATAAGTGCCAAATATAAGATGAAAAGCGAAGAGATTGAGGAAAGTCTGGAGGGAAGCAGAAATATGGTACATGTTTTATTTATTTGTAGTATTTGATTGATATTTTTCTTAATAAATTGAAGCATTTCAAAAATTGAGATGTCAAAATATTTATTTGCGCATCAGGATAGATTGTGTTTTTAAACATGTACGTTTAACAGTTTGGAGATGAAATTCATGACATTATCAGGAAATTAAACTGAATTTTTTAAGTCAGTAAAAATGAGCTGGGTGAATTATTTTTTTCTTTTAGATCCTTAAGCTAGAGGATCAGCTTGCAAAGACAAACTATTTTAAGAGGTAAATTATATTTACTTGGGTTGTACTGTATTTGAAAATAACTTTGTACAGATTTTTATCAACAGATAAGACCCAAAATGAATTTAATTAACATCTGCTAGATATTCTGCAGTGACAACTTAAAGTAAACTTTGATGCATGTTTTTTTCAGTGGTGTTGATTACATGTTAGAAGCCAAGTTATCAGAAAGCAAAGCAGCAGAGGCACAGACCAAAGTAGAAAGTGAGTTTGGATTCTTCTTTTTCACTACCCAGATAGTTCATCTATTTCAAACCTTGAGGGGCCTCAAGTTATTTGATAGAAGTAGAATGGGAGTCAAATGATTTTAATTTTCAAATAATGACTATAATGTTTGAATTCTATCAAATGAAAACAAAAAATACTTCATTTTCAAATTGCGAAATGTGAAGTTTGGGAATCTTAATTATTTTTTTAGTCCTGCAAGAGGAACTCTTACAAGCAAAGCAGGAAACTCACAGATTGTTAGAGAGACTTTCAGAGGCCAATAGAGAAAGGTCAGTCATACACCTGTACAATCAATTTGTCAGTCCACCTCATTGACAGTCCATGCATATATAACAGGGGCGTAACCAGACCTTTTAAAATTATACGCACAGATTTTCAAAATTCCCAAGTACAGCTAAATGTACACTTTCGCAACAGATGAAGGGCAGATTAAATTATATGTGCCAAATATAATAGCTTAGTTTTCACCAATTATAGAATCATCACATAAAGTTTAAAATATTCCCACAATATAGATAAGTTCCAATATATTATTACACCAGAACCAACGTTTTTTTCCAGGATTGGGGTACAGACCGTCCAAAATTACCATCTGTTATTTCCTTCAAATTTTCAGGGCGTCTAATTTTCCAAGTGCCTTGAGCGGGGATGGGGGTGGGGTAAAAATTTAATGAAAATATTTAAAAAATGATAAATTTCACTGGGGAGGGAGGGTTTAAAATAATCGGCAACGATCTCCTGCTGACGCTCTTTTGCGAAAGAAGGCCCTTCAATGAATACGAAAATTGCCTTCTCGTCTCGTTCGGATTGAGGTAGTAGTAACGTCGTGACTCAATAACAGCGTTCACTACAAAGTCGTAATATTCAACTGGGACGCAGCATAAATGCTGGGTACGTCAAATTACTCCAAAGGATTTTCATACGACGTCCACGACCGTCTGGACAAGCCAAGCCTTCATTTTTTTTTTAAATTGTAAGCCGTCCAGCCGTCTTTGAAAATATGCGCCGTCCGGTGATGCCAGCGGCCGTCCAAATGACAGATGGATGGTTTGCTGGGAAAACCCTTGCCAGGAATGGTATATTTATTTAACTAGGGGCTTACTGACACAAACTTTAGGCATTTATGCAGATTTATGCCTGCTTGTATCGAGCTAATTTCTATATGACGGTGAGGTACTGTTGTTCGATGTGGTTTGCGGCACATTGTCCTGAATTGTCAGAAAACAATCTGAAGAACAGTTGATCGACCCATCAAACACAATATACACAATATACGTAGATTTCTACCTCTCTCTCTCAATGCGCTCCCCCCCTTCTTGCTATCCTCTTCGTCATATCCAAGGTCACCTTAATGATGATCTTCCAAAAAGTTGAACCTTCATATGGTATCATTCAAAATCAACCAATTATATTACAGGATAAAGCTCTGGTATATCTAATTTTTATTATTTGTTTGTGAAAATTGCCCATGCCACCTTGTTAGTTTTGCTAGTTTGGAGGACTAAGCTGGAACAAGTCCGTGTCCAAAATTATTTTGAAGTTTTGTAAGAAAAATATTTTGTTTCTCAGGCTTCTTATAAAGAAGTTCAGATTTTCTATCTGAGATAAATATTGTCAGCGAGTGTGCGTTTGATACACTTAAGACAAAGGCTACATGAGAGTTGAAGGGCACTGAACCCTTCAATTAAGAGGTAAAGGAAGTTCCAACTACATGTAGATGGGCGATTACGATAGGACTTCTGAAGGTAGCTAGTATTGTTTATTTACCTCAATTCTGTGAAAGCAAACGAGAAGGGGTGTCAGAACAATGGTGCGTATACAATTTATACAGAAGATTTGTACATTCAGGTGACTGTAAATTGAAATCGAAGGGGATTTTCGATCATATTCCGTGGAAAATACACTAAATTTATGCAGAATAATATCATGTTTGGCCCAAAAAATTGTACGCACAGTGCATCCGTGTGTATGCCTGGTTACGCCCGTGTATAATCATTAATTTCCTTGTTTGATTACTGGGTATAGGGAATTCCTAGGTTTGTATCCAGCTCTTGCGATAGCAGCAAATTGCACTGTAGATAAATGTTCCATGTCTCTGTGCTAGTTCTAGTAATGGAATGGAATTAAATTGAATGGGATGTAATGTCAGTGAAACAGAGTGAGTAAAAAAGTATTTGCCAGTCACACTACTGAAATATCCTAGTAGCTCTTGCAGTAACAGTACATTACACTGTAGATAAAAGTAAAGTGATAGTAGTATCTGACACTGTGACATGATGTAATTTAATGTAAATTAACATGTGTGAGTAAACAGTATTTTCCTGTCTATGAAGAGCTGTTGGTGTTCCAGGAAAGAGATGGTGTCTGGGTCAGTTCATATGGAGCTGCTGAGAATTGCTGATGAGAGAACCAAAGAGGCAGAGTTTAAAGTCTTACAGTTGGAAAATGAGGTGAGAAATTAATATGTGAATTTCTTTATGATTTCTTAAAGCTCAGTTTTTAAAAGATGTGATAGATAAAAATAAAAATGCTACAAGTACAGGATATATTGTAAGGTGTACATGAACTAAATTTAGGCTATCTGGAGTTTGTCAAAGGCTACAATTTTTTTGGTGATTATTATATATAGGATCTGTAGCTTGTCTCACTGTAGGTAAAAGAAAGCCTGTTGAAGGGACTTAAATTTATTTTTCAGTTACGAACTCTGAAATCACAAAGACAAAATGGACAAGATTCCTTTGATCCCCATGAAAATTCACACACCCTGGCTTATTCAACACGTGTAAGTATGAGCATTTTGTGGATATTTATGGAACTTGTAATTGATAGAAATGCACATAGTTGAAAGATTAGTATGATGTTACTAGTATGTTACTATTGTTCTTTCAATTCACTGAAAGACTGTTATCAGTTTTAAACTTCTTTGCCAATTTGTGTCATTGCAATTAACCACAATTATTTCTTATTCCAGTCATTTCATGCCACTGATGTATTGAAAGGTCATCCATTTAAGCCTCCAGGAAGTGCCTTTGGCACCAAAGATCAAAGAGAAAATTTGGCCAAAAGGGCAACAAATAAACCAGTAAAAAACACTAAAACTCTGCCACAGCCTGCAGCTAGCCAGGGCAGTGGAGCGCAGCTAGAGCTACCCGAGGTGGGGTCGTTTGGACCCAAGTCCAATACTGGGTCTTCCCAAGTGCCAAGTATAGTCGTCTCATTTGATAAACCTTTGATGGGTGAGATTTATATTTTTTCAACTGCTAGTTGCTAATGTATGTAGATGTGTGTGCTTTCTGGCATACGTTATGATTTATCAGAATACCTTTAAAACACATCACAGCCGAACTATAAATGTTTATTAGATGTTGCAAAAATATCATATAATATTTTGAACACTATTGTTAAAACTATTTACAATACTCGTGAGAGAGAAAGAGTAAAATATTTCTACAGAGAACATTTCAGTCATATATTATTATATAATTAAGGGGTCAAAGTGTCATGCATCTTGGGTACAAAAAGTTAATTTTTTAAAAAATTTATCATCATTATACAAAATAGGCACGAGACTTGGTTTTTAATCTATGAACATTAATTGTCGGACACAACACTAATAATCAGCTGGAGTCATAAAAAAATCCTGGAATTTAAAAAAAAAAAACTTAAGATAATGAATCAAATAATTAAATACTGTTAAAGTTCAGTCTCATTGTCCTGTTCTAGTGGGGACAGATAGTGACAGCAGTGACTGGAGTGACAGTGACAGCGTGTCCACCTCACCCTCTAAAGCAAGACTCTTCTTTCAAAGACAGGACCAGAAGGACCAAAAGGATCACCCAGTTGCAGCTCAGCCAAAAATAATCAAACCTGTGATTTCAAAGTAAGAAGTAATCTGGGAATGATGTTTTGTTATTTTTAAGTTTGATTTGACAATTGAAAAAATATTTAACCTTGCACATTGTAAAACCAGTACAATGTAGTGTATGAATTCAGTAGTTTTTCCAACAATAGACTTTTGCATTGTTCTTGAGAATAATTCTGATGTCATAATAGACTTGAATGACATCACTGTTTCCTTGGGTTTTTAATGTTATGAGTTTTTGCCCAACAAACGATTTTTATCAATAAGCCTAAATACTTTTGAACTGAAGATTACTTTTAATCCAGGTAAGTTTTAAGTACATTTCAAAACTTAGTATTGGATATATCAATATTTAGTATTATACAGGTGCAGTATCATGACTACCACACAACAGTTACTTCAGAATGACAGAATTCCTTCTTAAAATTTGCAAGGACGTTGAATTGGATCTAGGAAGTATTTACAAATTATATGGAACATAAATTTGTTTATCCTAGGCCCAAACCTCCATTACCTCAGAAGCCTAGGATAGCTCCAAAGCCACGGCTCAGACAAATGGAAAACACCAACACTCTGGAAAAAACAGTGTCCTTTGAGAGCACCTCTGAGAGCACCTCTGAGAGCATGGAACAGGAAGAGAAAGGGGCCTCATTTGAGAACACCTTTGACAGCACAGAACAGGAAGAGAAAGGCGTCTCATTTGAAGAGGTAACATTTTTTTATTCAAATTTAATTTTGAATTTTAAGTTTACGTACTAGCACTTAACTTTTTACTTAATCAAATGTTTCATCAAAACAAATGAATCATTGAACTACTATATTTTCATTATTGTAAATATTGTTAACTTTGTGACCATGTCATCATATTAAATGATGACTCACCTAAAAATAAGAAAGTCAAGTCCCCCACTATTTAAAAGAAAATAAATGTGCAGATTACGATGATGAGCACTTGGTGCTTTTCTTCCAGACCGTACATTCCAGTCCCTTGGGTAAATTCTCTAGAACAAAAGGACCTGAAGGCAGAAGGAGACCACAGAGGTTGTCCCATATGTAGAGACATCTGTGACTTGTATTCTAAGAAGAGAACTAATGCATGTGTTCCCATGTATTGGTCTTCCAGATTATTACTGAATGCTCATACTACTATACATATTACTAAATGTTTTAAGTTTGACACAGCAATGAATATTGCGTGTCAAATTCAGCAGTCAAAAATTTCCAAGTGATGGGCTGAAGCAGTCTTTTCATAGACAAGGAAGATATTCATTATAGAGAAATAGAAATGCCTAGCTGTGATCACTTGCCAATTTAAACATGTAATATTTAAAGCAGAGGCAAACAAATGTGATATTTGAATGATACTCCTGAAGTGCTTCCAAGATGCCATGTGATCATTTCATTAGATGTAAAGATTATATTTTTAAGTGCTAATAAAGAACTTATTGTGACGAAAAGAAATAATTTTGGGAACAATTACAGAAGGCAGGTACTTTGACAGTTATACCAATAAGTGCTCATTGATAAAGTACAAATGCAGAACTAGTGCAATTATTAAAGATCAGCAGTGAAGGTGTAGCTTTGGCTGTGTGACATAGAAAAGTGTATCTTTTTTGTTGAGAAATAACAAGAATTAGTAAAGACCCATTTCTGTTCACCAGTTTATTTATCAGACTGAACATTCTCTTAAAATGTTATACCTAATATATGTGGTATCATAAGCTTCAGAACATTCCAATTGTTTTCAGAATGGGTGCAGACACAGACAATTTATACAATAAAATATGAATAGAGCATGTGTGTTGCTGACTATTAATACTTACTATTTCTTACATGAACACATTCATACAGGCATCTTAAAAGTCTGAAATTGATAATACACAGTACAATGTTTTTATACACCTTGCTGGGAAACCTGATATTCAGAAAACAGCTCATGTTTTCATTATCAATAATGAAATATAAATCTGATGATGATAAATAATGGTTTATCATGAAATACGACATTGGAAGACAGACTGCCACATAATATATTAATGCTACTCAGATCAAGTTTTTAACAAATCTTTGACATAAAATGTCCATCAAGCATGTAATGGTGGCCATGTTAAAAATAAAGGTGACTGATTACTGGACTTATGATAAGGGAAATGTCACTTCATCTCTGGAATATTTCCTTTGCTGAGATTGTGTATCAGAGCAGCAATCTGGTTGTGTTTTTCAATCTCTGCCGTCTGATCCTTGATAATCGCCTCTTTCTCTCTCAGGTCTGCCTCGTGCTGGTGGCAGACGACTTCTAGAGAGCTCACCTGGAGATAAGTGGTCATGTAAATGGAAGTGACCATGATTTTATCTCATCACAAATGAACAATAAACAAACAGTAGGAACTTATCGAGTAATTATCCCATGACCACGACTTTCACAACATAAAATTAACAATATAACAAAAGAAACTCATCAAGTAAATGGTCCATGACCATGGCTTTCTGTCAAGATGAGATAAACAAAACAAATGATAGAAATTTTCTTCTGGTGTTAAAGGACTTGCTTTGCTTCACCCCCCCCCCCCCCCCAAAAAAAAAAAAATGCTGCTTATTGGAACAGGTTATTCTCAACCTCAATGTGGCATTATTTTTAAATACTACCACAATGATAAATGGTTAATATACCAGTGCATGTGAAACGTGGCCGTACCTGATGCTGAAGTTCTTTCTTCATTTGTTCCGTCTTTGCCAGCTCAGTTCGTAGTTTATCAATCGCTTGTTCTAAATCTTTCTTTTCTTTCTCCAAGTTTTTAAGTAGTTCTTCACGTTTCTTATTATTTTTGGTCAATTCTAAAATTAAAAAAAAATGATACATTAAAAACATGAGTGCTGTGCAACAAGCCAGTTGTTAATGAGAAAATTTATTTAAAATTACCTCACAAATCTACTCCAAGTCTCATTGGTAGCAGAGGGCAGATCCTACCATTTGATTTAAATGGCACCTGTTAAAATGACACTTAAGCAGAACTTCATAACTTCAGCCTCTAAGAACAACTGTATAATGAACATTCCCTACCTGTTACTGCACTGTCTTTCTCCTTGAGTTGTTTAGAAAGATTTTTTCTCTCTTCTTCAAGTTCAACAAGCTGTTCTGATGCTCTGGAAAATGAGTGTAGAAAAAAAGGAATGAAATGCAATCTCCCCATGAAACTGGTTTCTCTTATTTATCCACACAAATATCATTAAACTGTTCCTGTTTGTGGTCTGATTCTCAAATTAAAACTGTATAGCTATATACCCATGCACACTATATGGCAACAATGTGCACCATAAATATTATACTGATGTACTCATTGACGACAAAGACTCCTGAAGACTTTTACGACGAAGACTCCTGAAGACTTTTCCTTACACATCATGTTGTTGTTTCAGCGTCTCGTTGTGCCGTCTCAGCATTTCATGCATCTCAGACATGGTCTGGTGCTCCTGCTTCAGTGTGGACAGTGACCTCTGAGTATTCTCCAATCTGAAAACAACAGGTGTAATACCTTACTGCTGCAGTATTTATAAACTCCTTATTCATTTTAATTAATTCATTTTTTAAAATTTTATTTATTTATTTTTTTGTTGTTGTTTTATTTTGTAGAAAATAAGATCACGCATTAGGGAACGTTATCCATGACCCACAACTGTTATAAACAAAATACAGTAACTGTTCTTTTGTAAATATAAAACAGAAGTCTTAATCTATATATTATTTCATCATATAACCACAGAAGTCAATACCTCTGAGCCTGTTCTGTGAACTGCTGAGAGAGTTCCTTGTGTTCTTCTGCTATTGTGTTTAACCTGGTGTTTTCTTGCACAGCCCCCTCCAGTTCCTCCTGAAGTCTCTCCCTGTCTAACATCATATCATTCAATTGCTCCCTGTACTCTTCACTCTTCTTCTCAGACCCTTGGAGCAGAGACCTCAGCTTGTGAGCCTGTGACAAGAAACAATACAAATAGTATATATTTCTTCTAAAACATAAACTGAAACATGTTACAGAGAGTTCAGACATCCACCAAAACAAATGATTAACTAACAATTACCATTTATTAACAATTACCATTAATTAATCAATGGATCACCACCAAAATCTTATCACTTTTAAGCCTATTTCTGATCTACCCTGAAAACGTCATCAAAATCCATCCATAGCTTTTTGCATAATGTTGCTTATGGAAAGATGAACTAACATAACTAAAAATGTACCTTCCTAGATGAAGGTAATGAAGTCATACTTACATGGAGCATATTTCTAACCAAGAAATTCTTTTTAAAACCAGCTTTTTTATTGTGAAATTTCATGTCTATTAAAGGGATAATAACTCTTCGTATGAGATCTATATTTTACAATAAAAACATTGTGAATAACTCATGGAAGTATAATATATTCTGTTTTACCACAAAAACGGCAGTTATAGCTATTATCCTGATATCTGAGCTTGTCTTTAGACCACGTGTCCTCCATTGATGGCTATACTCTGTTAAAATCTCTTAAGAGATTTTAACAAAAAAACAAACATTTTAGAAAAAAAAACAGGGACTTACTTTCAATGTAAAAATGGATTCGTTAACCATTGGGGAGTATGCGAAAATTCTTGTTTACTCCAGGAAAATTCATTTTTTGGCCGAAACGACGAGTTATTATCCCTTTAATATTATCCATGTAGATATCCCCCACTTTCATCCTACTGCCTCAAATGACAGATGGTGGGTTAAAAAATGACTATGGCTAGAGAGATAAACAGGTACCAAAGTGTTGTCGTACCTCTGCCTCAGACTGTGCACGTCTACACCTGTACTGAGAGATAAGTCTGTCTGCCTGAGATAAAGCCAACGCCTTCGCTTCCAGCAGATCTTGAAGGTGGTTTTCCTTGGTCTGTAAAAAGGGCAAACAAAGGCATAACTTTATACTTTGGTCAATATCAAAAATAACTCTAAAATTTATTGCGACTTTTTTACAATGGCACATACTTTTTTGAAAACCCTGTAAGAGAGAAAGAAATTTACATTTCCTTTTAAATTCCCAGAAAATGGTTCCTTTGATAATTTCCAGCATTGTCCAAATCAATTCATTGTTAAATGCTATTTGTTTGAAAACAAAAACAAAACATTCATTTTGCGTTACCTGCAGGGACTGAAGTTTGTGTTCATATAAATCTATGATTTCTGAGCCCCTAATGTCCTTTAACTGAAACAAACCAAGAAACAGACAGTGATTTTTCAACAAAATGTACTGGTGGGAGAGAATTTATACATGTAAGCAGTACAGTATCTTAAGTTTTACTTCACCAGGGACCTAACTTTTAACGTATCATGCTCAAAATACCAGATGTGATTTCGAGTTATAAGAAAAAAAAAAGTAGGAAGAAATGTCTTGGTTGGTTTATGATTGGAGGTGTTAGGACCACTTAAGATCATAAAACCACCAAGAAAAATCAAATTTCAGATTTAAATAGGAGAAAAAAAAACATCAAGCCTGCAATACCCACCTCCATTCCGCTCTGCATCTTGTCAATGAGAGTCTGTATGGAGGCATCCATGGCAGAAGTGGACCTGGACGGCTTCTTCTTGGGAGGAGGCTTACAGGACTCCCTCACGCTTGGCAGGTTCTCCTTGTCTTGTAGAATACCATCTAGGAAAGCAATAGACAAGAATGAAATACAAACTGACCCCGCAAAAAGTTATACTTACTGACATGCAAAATTATGATATTTTCTAAGCAGTTTTTTCAATCACTTAACAACATTAGTGGAGAAGACTGCCATTAAGAATGCAACGTAAATAATAATAAAGAGCAAGAAAAAAATTTATTTCTGGAATTTTTTAACCATACATGTATCTTTACTGCGTAGCATGTGATGTCTTCTACCTGATACTGATTGTGAGTAGTGTGAGCTAGGTAATGTGTCCCCTTGGGATTTTTCAGGCTTAGCTTTCCTTCCTGAATTGATTGCTGCAATGGCATCTCCCAATCTGAAAGAAAAAAACGTTTTATTGAGATTCTTTGTTCAAAGGTCGGATTTTTCCTCATTTTTCCCCACATTTATAATAATAATAATANTTGGGATTTTTCAGGCTTAGCTTTCCTTCCTGAATTGATTGCTGCAATGGCATCTCCCAATCTGAAAGAAAAAAACGTTTTATTGAGATTCTTTGTTCAAAGGTCGGATTTTTCCTCATTTTTCCCCACATTTATAATGATAATAATTCTAGGTAACAGTACCACACAGACAACCAACAAATTCAAATAACAAACACACATACACACAAGTTATTACAGAACCTCTTACATTAAGCTTGGAAAATCTTCTACTGCTGCCCCTGCACTGACCAGCCTGAGAGACGTCTGGACTCTGGTCCTAACGTCAGACGTTAACCCAGCAGCCAGGAAAGGAACCACCTTAGAGTCTTGTAGAATTCTTGTAAAAGCCTGCTCCATGTTGGTGACGTAGCGCTTGGCTTTCAGCATGAAGTCCAGGGTACACAGCACCACATCTGTACCAGATTCACTGTGGAGTGAAGAGGAAAAGATATTGAAATGGTTGCTGAATATTTTTAACTCTTCTACAAACTAGACAGAGAGTTATAGCACTTAAAGATATACTGAAGATATGTTTACATGGTTCATGCTACCACTTGCCAATGGATGTCTCAAATGGATGTCCCATCTGAATAGCAACTTAATACACTAGGCCAAGTTTACTTTTCCTACTCAGACTTATAATTCGGCTTCCTATAAACAAAGTTCAGTATAATATCCACTTACTTCCAGTCATCCAGGTCTGTAGCCTTCCTGCTGAAGTTGATGGCTATCCTGTTGTGGTTAAACTGGTAGTCCAGTAAGTCCAGACACGTCTTGGTGTCCACCGAGTCGGCCACATGGGCCTTCATGTTAGCATCTCCACACAGCAGTGATCACAGTCAAGGAAATCAATTCTTTAAACAAAATTATTTCTTTAAACATAATTATATCATACTACTTTTCATCTTACTCAACTCACAATATATAAGGATAAAGTTAACAAGTTAAAAGAACATGCCCTACAAGAACTCACTTTGAATTGATAGACAAACTTTTGTCAAAATCAGCAAACTAAAGGATATCACTCAATAATTCGATGGCCTTTACAATTTTCTTGCACCTCTTTTTGAGGTTCACGCTGCTGTCTACCTGTGACATCAGAACCTCTGTAACCATTGGCAATGAGACGTCAAGTCTGGGTGACAGCTTGGTGAGAAGATTGGAATCTATCATCTCCTGGAAATATGACAAAACAAAACATTTACAACATGTATTCAAACAAAACTTTTTCAACGCATTTTTAATTAATATATATATTTTTTTTAGATGACAGATATCACAAAACTGATACTTATCACATTCACACCCACTTGATGCAAATGTTTACGTCATTAAGAGGTCCTTACAAAGAACAAGTGCTCGCAACTTCGACAGCGGTACCCTGCAGTTGAATCATGCTTCTATCAAAACTGTTACTGCAGAACATACCAACACAACAGACAGTACCTCATAGATTTCTTTCAGTAACTCCAGTGCCAGCATAGGAGTGTTGTCTGCGACGTCCACTGACTGACTTCCCCAGTGCACCAACGCAAAGAACGCCTGCGTCTTGTTGGTCTGGGAAGACCTCTTCTGGGCCGGGGTGCTGGTTTTAGGGGACATGACTTTCAAATAGGGGGAGTCCATGACTGCCAGACAGATCTTCCCTCTCACACCTTGTACAGAGGTAAACGCCAGGAGAAGCTCTAAAATCTGAAAGTCAAAACATAATGACAATAAAGGATTCTCATAATGGTGAAATTAAGATAAAAAGAATAAGTGAAAGTGAAAATATTTCAACATAATTCCCATATTACAGAATGACTTTATATTTTTTAATTTCTACCATTCTAATCTTGTGTGCATTAGGCAAAAACACATCCAAATGTTTCACAACCAACCTTTGCTACGCACTCTGCTTCGGCAGAAGACAACAGTCCTAAAACCTGCTTGATACATTCCCCTAAATAGTCATACCTGGAAGACATACCAAACATATCTGACCAGACAATCAAGTGGAAAAGGTGCACTGATGGCTGATGCCAGTGCCTCAGTGTCTCACCTGGTTTCTTCACAGCCTCAGGGTAATTCACCTACAATAGCTCACTTACATTTAACACAATATCAGTATCAATATATTATCATAAGTTTCAGAACTACAGATAGTCTAAGAGTTTAACAAACTGCTGCAGTTGCTGCTGGGCATCAAACAATAATTACTGCTAACTAGTACATTCAAATTTTTAGAAACTTGGCTCTTTCCTACATAATGTCTATTTTCTCAAAACAGTTTGTGAAAAATCTAATCTCAATTTACAGTTATGCTGAAACTGTTAGACCTACAAGTCATGGCCAATAAAATTTGCATGGACTGATAGAAAGTAGTGTTCAGTCACTCCATGACACCAGCAACAATTTTAAGAGCTTTCCTTATGAATTTAGTCAGTTAAGGAAAAACACATTTGGCCTGGCAAAGTTTTCATAACTGCCAGTATGAATGTCTGGCAGTTTTATCTATTTATTCATTTATTTATTTATTTGCTTATTAAACTTTAATTATTGAGAGTAAAAACCTGGTAAATATAAAATCTATCTTCCCCAGGTTTTCATCATGTGTTTTAAGTGCTGCCACCTACATTGCTAGTGAGTGTTGTATCCTAGGGTTTCTGATGAGATCAATGAACAGATCCACTGCATACTGCTGAGTGAGGCTGCTCTCTCCATTCACTATGATATTGAAGATCAGCTGGAATGTCTGGTGAATGTTCTTTGAGTTGAAAAGCTAAAATACAAGATAAGATCCCAGTTTACATTACATAGCAGATGTTCCTTTATTTGGAAATTTGTAGAAAATTAGTGCACTTTTTATTCTTAAAACAAAGATGGAGATGCAGTATACAGGTTTCCCAGCTAAGTACAAGGATAAAATAAAAATGGCTTTTAATTTTCTAAGTCCTCAGACAATCATTTCAATCAAGTATTTGTAACTGATTTGAATAGATATATTTCTCCTAACACAATTAAGTTAATGCCACAATGTTATTCTCTTATTTTCTACCTTTTCTCCCAGATCTTCATGCATACAGAGACTGGCCAGTACAGAGAGGGCAAACACCACCATAGTCAGATTCTTATGGGACAAGTAGGAGATTAGGGTCTTGTAGATCACTTTGATGTTGTCCTGATAATAATATATAATAATGGATTTAATCTTTACAAAAACAACTCTTCTATTCAGCTAAAGAATATATTAACACCTCACAACAATGAAATCAAATTTCAAGATACGTATGTTTATACTAAACGTACTTCAGAATGAGTTGGGTTGCAATAGCTAGTGCACACTTATACCACAGAGACTCTGGTTGAATGCAATGAAGTTAACAGACTAACTCCCCCCCCAGGCATTGAGTATAATAAAGAAAATTTGGTGATTATATACATCATAGGAAACGAGAGATAATGATAGTCCCCATGGAGTTAGTGCGTAGTAGCCATTGTGACCTACTCATTCTAAACAACCATTAGGACAAATGCAGCCATAAATCTTTTTCCCAAGATAGGAGGTAGGTCAACTCTAGGTTTACACATAATAACACCATGTTAATATCTTACCAAGTTCTTCACATGCGTCTGTATGGAGAAGTTATGCCTGCACATGTTAGCAAACAACCCTAGGCATGCTTGGCTCATGTCAGTCTCTTTACCTTGACTGGACCATAGATAAATGAAAATGTAAATGATATTCAGTTGTCATCATTTTGTAAATAATATATAATACATACACTTTGCACATTTATAAATAAAATGTTTTAATTATTCATTTACCTTAAACTATACAGCCAGTGCTTATCCATGTATAAATACATAACAGATCTGTTAATTTCAAATAAATGCATGTTAATTGTATATTCATTACTTACATGTGCTTGACAACAAAATTGATCAAATCTTCAACATATGTTTCCTGGTAAGATATTTTGCTGTTGTAGGTAATTCTTTGGAGAAGTTCCATGCACTGAAATGACACAAAAGATGTAACACAATAGAAACACAATAGAAAGAAAACAATAGAAATAACAAAATAGAAACATGATAAAAATATGACAATTACATTCTATGCAACTGGACATCTAGCCAATGGCCTTGACAATATTACTCTTCTATCAAACTTCCTTATTCATCTCACAAAACCTGCATTAGACAATGTTGTACAATGTTCCAGTCTATTTTAAATGTTGATTCAACATCAAGTTTACAACTGGTAAAGCAAATATTTACAAATATTAAAAATTTAAAAATCAATTCTTGAGTCATGACAAGATGTCTAACAAGACAGTTGACAAGACAAAACAAGCAGTAATTTTCAACAAAAACAAAGTATCACTTTCACTGCTCTCACCTGTACTGAGCATCTGTCTGCAGGTGTGGCCCCGCTCAAGCGTAAGAACGCTGCTAATGACGACGTCAGGTGAAACACAGAATGTAACATGTGACGGATTTCACTGTCATTTGCTGCAATGTTAAAAAGATTTACTAAGTAAAAATATTTAACGACTGGCTAAGATATCACATGGACTCATGAGTTCTGTTGTAGGTGCAGTTTATAAGAAAACCATAAGATCTATTCACTGTTGATATAGTGGATATATAAACAAATGTAATACATAATATAAGTAAACAAGTTTAACACAGTGCCTGGCTTAAAAATGGACACAATCAGTTGAATACTAAGATCTACATCCATATCATCAGTGCAATCTCCATGACATTAAGTTACTTACATCCATATCATCAGTGCAATCTCCATGACATTAAGTTACTTACATCCATATCATAAGTGCAATTTCCATGCCAGTCTATGACTTACCTAAGTTGCTGAGTAGCACCATTGTCTTGAGAGCCAAGGAGGGTTTGGTCTGAGGGTCAGAGAGGACGTCCACCAGACAACTGAGACATTCTGTAGGGAGGAGCTGCTTCGGGTCAAAGAACTTCAGGGATGATCCCTTCCCAGTGATACTGATGAGCACCTTGTTAAAAGATAGATTAAGAACATTAATGTTAATTTAATCATACCAAATCCTAATCACTATAACTTTATGAGAGTTTCTTACTAGTAAATCACAACAGCCAAACATCTATCTATGTTTAAAGTATAAAGGAAAGTCAACTTTCTATTCTGTTAATAAAAACTGTTAAATCACATATGGAAGGAAGTACTTCACCTTAAAATCAAAGACATGATTACATGAATGTTCAAAGAAATTCCTTATCAAAATAGACAAAATTGCATGTCTTACATCTAAATGCCTCTGGAGCTGGGTGAGATTCCCCTCATTTTTATTGTTTCTGTAGCAGTTTGCAGCTGCCACAACTGCCTTCACACACGCAGTGGCTTCCATTTTGTCTTTTACCTGAAATCTAGAATATATGCCAGCATGGAAAGTAAAGATAATCTTATCACAATAATTTCTTAATGCATCCTTGAAACTGTTTACAGTTCCATACCAATATCAATCTAATTTCCTTAAAATTTTGCTTTTGCAGTATCTTAATTTATGTGGTAACTTTGATCAGTGTCACTGCTATTTAACTAGTTTAAAACTCTGGCAAATGGGATGACAACAATTTGAATAGCAGAGACAGCTCAAAGTCACCACATAATTTTTAAAAGATTTTGAAAAGCAAAGGGTTATAGGATAGGGTGGGGGTTGAAGGATACTGAAAAAGTGTCAAAAATCTATGTCCTATGTAAATAGCTGGCCCCAACAAAGTCAAACGAAATGGAAAAAAACTCATGCGGCATCTCCCCAATTTATACATTCCATTTAATTTCACGTTAACATAGTATGAAACATCTACTTTTAAATATCTCATTGTATATATTATTTATTTGCAATTCTTATATAAATATGATTATATGTAGTTGTTTATGTGATTGGCTGTAACTTGATAATACTAATATTGTCATGTACATTAAAATTAAATCCATGATTTCATGTAATGATGATGAGTATGACAACGAAAACATTTCAAAGTCATCGGGTAATCTAGCAAATAAAGGTTCTTGATAATAACAGGACAAACTCAAAATTATCCTTACCTCCAATGTTACTTAAATAAAGATAATATGACTATCTCAATAAACTGTGAAAATGTAGAACACAAAAAATCACTGATCATACAGCGGTGTTCCTCAAATTTGGATATGCCGCCATATTGGATTTTGAATTTTGTTTACGCTATCCATGACGTTCTTCCGTTTTTAACGCCGCTGATTTGTTGATATAAACCTCTAATAATCATAGCAAAACAAATCAATACTGCCAAAATTTTGGTGAATAATTGTTGTAAAACATTTTTGAATGGTTCCAATGCATTTTAGATACTACCAGTTCAAAAGTTTAAAAAGTCAGTCGAAGTGGTTTGTCATGCAAATGTCCTGAAATATTCTCCTATAACCGTATTAGAATTTGAACATCTTTTAGATATACTTTGAGATATATTCAAAATTTTGAAAAATCATTCTAAGTAACAACTGGCATCAAATTTATAATAAAAATATTATTTTCTTTTCAACCCATCATGCCTCAAAAATATGTCAGCGCCCATGTAGCACCCAGCCAGGAGACGTTCACCCCCAAAACCAGACAGACAGACGAGAAGTACATGTAGCAAGGGTCCATGGCTTGTAGGATTTTTAGCACAGGCAAATATAGGTTGTGGAAAAACTAAGTTTGTGTGATTATACACGAAATTGAGAAAGCAGTTGTTGTAAAGAGGTGTTTTGTGCCGGAAGCAGTTCCCGAACTGCGACCCTTACGCCACCTGGCGGAAGTGAGTAAACGCTGAATAGTTTGAGCCACGACGCAGGACGGTGTGGGTCGGTGCGAGAGAACTGGGAATCGCCAGCTCACCCACATATCACAACACAGTTCCACGGCGAGCTTCGACCTGTTAAGACATCGTGCAGCGGAGAACGAGTCTGTATGGAGAGGTGCAGGTGCGAGAGAGAGCCACGGCCGGGCACGGGGTGCGAGAAGAGGCTGCGGTTCACTACAACAAATTAAGTGCTTCCTCAAGTGGTCTGACCCACATGTATGGCATCCTTAAAATGAATTGCATTTTTATATTGACGAAAAATTTGGACACAGGTCTTATTGGGTAATGAGTGTACTTCATGTAAATTTTAATTAAAGCTCAGCCAGAATGGAAAAATCAGAAGAGAATCTAGAAAAGGTGACCAAGTTCTTGACTCCCTATCTGCCGTTTGCTAATGCACATTTGGCTGATTTCATAATAGAGAAACAATGGGATAGCTTTGTTTCAGTAGGTCTTGGGCAGGAAATATTATCAACTACATCAGTTTACCGAGAACAGTTGTTTCAAAAACTGTCAGAGAAAAACACAAAGAAAAGTGCATTAAAAGAAAAAGTTGGCAATCCCATGAAACTGGACTCGATATATTCAGGAATTGGTCAAAATGCAAAACTTTGTGGTAAAAATGAAAACATAGGACAAGAAGTACAAACAAGTTATTCTACTGGGGCTAGTACCGGATCTTCTGATAAGTTACATGGGTCGTTAGAGAACTTCATCATCAGTGCTCTTCAGCACAGCCTTGGTTATCTGGGTGTTTTGGAAGATATAAACCATATTGTAGAATCAGAGACCAGCAATGCAGGGGAGGCAGGGGATCATTTCATCCCATTTGGAATGTCAGATAAGAAGAGCCATGAGGTTCAAGTGATGGCCAGGACTTGCAGTCAGCTGGCTCTAAGACATGGAATATCCAAGGTTCAGTTGTCTTATAAATACTGTGTTTAATTAAGATACACTGAAACTTACAGTAACTGTTATGAGTGAATTAATAGAGTGGTACCAACAAAGATGGAAAGCAGGTTTCCTAGTATTTCTATTCTTTTACAATAAAAACACCACAAATGCTAGATAAAAGTATATTTTAATGACTTTAAAGTTATTATGAAAGATTGTGATGTTTGCAGCATTATTATTAGGATTATCTATTTATTATTATCTATTTACTAGTATTTATTTTTTTCTGTGCATGGTCAATTTAATTCTGTGACACAGTATAATTTACTTTACATATATACTGTTTATTTGATTATGTGCAATATATATACATAATATATAAATTTAATCATATTGTGTCCCAGTACAAAGTCATAAGACACTTATTTTTCCATGTATTCACTTCCAGTTTGTAGACATTGGAAGTGGTAAAGGATACCTCAGTGAAACCTTATCCATGGAGTATAGTCTGTGTGGAATTGGCATTGACTCCTCAGATATCAACACAAATGGCGCTCAGGACAGGAACAGAAAACTTGAAAAATATTGGAGCGGCATGAAAAGAAATGCAACTCATCAAAAAGCAGGTATTAAACTGACTAGAAGAGAGAAGAAGGAATTACGAATGGCAAAATGGAAAGAGAACAACCGTGGACAACAACAAGATGTAGATTTAGGTACCAGTGGTCCTCCTGATAGGATGGGAGGGGATACCTCACATGACTCCTCGGGTCACAGAGGGCAGCATGGTGGCTCTTATGTACCCATGACTATGTTTGTGACTGAATCTACAGATTTAGAAAGGTTGATCTCGTCCAGTTTATCTGATAACTCAATCCACGATTCATCGGGATGTTTAGAAATGTCCCCAGCAAACTGTGCAATAGATCATTCTGGTGAGAAAGAGGTGGCCTCTTTGAATACAACTGAATCTATAGAGGCTGAATCTGAACAAACTTTTAAGCAGGAAAAGAACGTAACTGACAGGTGTGACATTGACAGTTGTGTTATGTTGACGGGTCTCCACACCTGTGGTAATCTGTCCCCTACAATACTCAAACTGTTTGCTCAAAGCGACTCTGCCAGACTGCTGTGTGTTGTGGGGTGTTGCTATCACTTGATAGATGAGGAGTTTTTCACTTGTCCCTATGGAAACCAAAAAGAAGGTAAGGCATGACATTTAAAATGCTTTGAGATAAAGTGTTTGGCACTAATGAACAATAGTAAGCTGTCAGTTTTGTCTTTGTTTGCATCAAGTCTTTGTTTATATCAGAGAAAGCCATTTGTATTGACTAGAACTTTGATTATTTTGCTATTAAAATAGGCATTATAGTAAGAATTTGTTTGATGCATACAACTACAGGAGAAAAAAATAAATGGTTTTTCATTTTCATTTGTTGAACTTGATGAATAAATTGATCTATAAATACTCCATTATGTACAGGTACTAAAGACAGTGGATTCCCGATGTCAGAATATCTGAGAAAATGTACCTTTAGTCTTGGCAGAAATGCCAGGATGTTAGCATCACAGTCACTTGAAAGACTTACAGGTAATCAGCAAGTAACAGAGATGAGCAGCATTCCCATAATACATAGTTACTCCTTTAAAGTTGCATATATGTAAGGCTTGGGGAACATTTGTTTCTGTTTTTACACTTATAGCTATTGGATTCTTAAAAACATGTTTCACCTTTTTTTTCCAGAATCAACCAAAGAAAGTATAGAGGTAAGAAAAGTCATATTGAAAAGTTTGAGAAAAAGGTAAAGGAAAGTGTTAGATTGTTTCTGTGGGCATGTTTATGTGTGGAGAGCAAGAGAGCACATTCAGAACAACAGACAAACAGATCCGTGGATCAAATAGTGCCAACCCACTCGAATGTTTGTTGTGTGATCCCCTTCAGAGAATCAATTCAGTGTCTAATCAGGAATAGAGTGACAAGCTTTTAAGTGGGTTGCCTTATTTGATCCGTGGATTTGTTGATCTGCTGTTCTGAATGTGCCATAAATGTGGGGAGAGATAGATCGATCGATGCTAATAGCTGTTTCTTTTCAGGCATCAGACCAGTCTAAGTTTTGGAGAGCCCTACTGCAAGTGATTCTCCAAGACCTGTCCAATGGCAAAGTGAGCAAGGAATGGCAAGTGGGAAGAATAGCAGCCAAGTGTTCCAGTTTTACACAATATGTTAGGAAAGCTCTTGCAAAGTTAGGATTTGATCAAGAAAAGGTATCAGTGACTTTATGTGAATGATCCTTTTTATAATTTAAAAGATTTTCAACTGTCTTTATGCTGTTTTTATGCTCTAGACTAACTAAACACACACACACTCTCGCACACCAAATGCATGCACACACACATTTAGCATAATGGTTTGTACAGGAGCTGTTACCACTTATATTTGTGATAAGTGACAAAATAAAAAGTGTTCGCATTTGTAACTGATAAAATTAGTTAGCAGAAGGATGTTTTTGTAAAATTCTTCCTAAACTTGAATTGCTGCTCTCAGCTGTTTGAAAACTTAAAATTTGTATGTTTCAGATATCTGACCAGATGATCAAAGAATATGAAAACCAGCATTCATCAGAAAGGAGCAAACTTGAAGCATTTTGTTTTCTGAGAACTCTGCTGGCACCTGTTATTGAAAGTCTTATCGTCTTGGATAGACTTAGTTTTCTTTTGACAAGGGTAAATATAGGTTGTCGGAAAACAGAACTTAAATATGCTGCCTATTACTTTTAAGTCCAGTATTGTCACTGAAATTGTTAAATTACTTCTTACAATTAATTACAATTATTTAATTTCCTAAAATTGATGTGTATGCAGTTTCTAAGGTTTTCAGTTGTTTTAGCACTGTGTCATGAAAATCCCATATTTGTTCCACTCACACTGCCTATCCTCTCTTTCAGCCTAACATCAAAACAGTCCACTTAGTCCAGTTGTTTGACCGAGCCATTTCTCCAAGGTGCTATGCCATTATCGCAACAAAAGCTTAAGAAGCTTTTTATCTTGAAAAGTATTCTTTCCAGCAATAGTTGAAACCACCAGTTTGTAAGGAACATAGATTGGATATACTGGATTTTCAAGCACGCGAAATTACTGAATTAAGAACATAATGAACAATGTAAAAAAAAGTCATACAAATTTCTTTCATTCTTTATTTATTTATCAATATTATTATTATTATTATTATTATTATTATTATTATTTGAAGATAATAATGTTCAGAACATGGTTCAGACACTCATCAATGGACAGAAAGAGGTATTGTAAGCATATAAGGTCTGTTTAGTGCAATGTTTTACTGCTATAGTCAGGTTGGGCCTTTGGAAAGGTCATAAAAGTCAAGTAGCAACAGTAAGCAGAGATGGAAGTCTTAAACCCATGCATATTACATACTGATATCCTTCTTTTCTCTTATTTTCCTTGGTTACTTTCCTTTGGAATAGAATTGGGGGTGGGACAACCTTTTTGACCCATGTTGTGTGTAGACCCTAAGCAGGGTAGTTCTGTTAAGTGTAAAACTGCCTTTCTTGGATAGTTTTCATATTTAGAGCATCACTAATTTCCTTGAATTTAGTAAAAGTTCTCAAAGTTGCACATAACAGGTTACCTATAGGCTGCCTGTTCACTACTGGATGGGAATGCCACACAGAGTCGTGATTGTTTAGATATGTCCCTCTGACAGTTATCATGCTGCTGCACTTATCCTCTTTCTTGTCTTTCTGGTGCTGCACAAAATTCGTCACTGAAACACTTCTTAAAAGAGTCCTTTAAGTTGATTTAGAAAAATGAAGCACTATATGTCACTGTCTGGATCAGTATTTTGAGTCTCATCCTCTTTTATGAGACTTTTGCATTCTGACTTGCTGTATTGAACATACAGTAAGTGGAATTGTCTGGGTGATACAATCAAACATTACTGAAATCAGTGGAGAGGACAGGTGTTCCACTGAAATGTGAATTTGGCAAATGGGATTTTTATTTCTATCAGCAACCCATGCTTAATTTAGCACAATATTTCATTCCCAAAAATTTCCTGTTCCGTCCATATGATAGCTGCCTCCAGAGTTGTAGGCCGACCTCTTACCATAAGCTCCTCTGCTAGATATCTATTCACTAATGCACCTACATATGCCCTGACTACAAAATACTCAAGTTTCTCCTTGTCTAGGGAAAGTGAATGCGCTATTTTCACTCCCCCTGAATTGCCTATTGAATGTTGTTAGGGTTTCGAATGCTGACTGCCTTAGAATTTCTAATTCAGATCTTTATCTCTCCTCTTCTTTTGCCAACAAAAGTATTTTTGTATATACAATCTAATTACCACCCACTATAATAACCAGCTGGTTGGTTATTCAGGTTCTTAGAGTTGCTTTTCACCAATAAGTCAACTGAGACAGGCAGCTATAGTTTTCTCTACATGGTTTATTTAACTGAATGTTGCGGTTTCTTCGTCACAGCTGTCATCATCCAATGTGCTTCTTTGCTCCACTTCCATCTGAATGCTGCTTATCATTGTTTCGATAGTTTGTTTTAGTTGTCATACATTGTTGTCTCTTATTTCATTACTTCCCACAGATTATCGAGAGTATTTGACAATAAAAGTCCATCTTTGTTTGTTGCCAGTGTTTTCAGATGATTGATGATTTCGCCCAGACAATCTAACAGCCTGCTGTAGATTTCTGGGTCTTCATACTGGTACTCGTCTTCATACAACATCTTGACTATAAACTGCCTTTTTGTCTCAGCTGCTTAAGGTGAAACCTGGGAGCTCGCCATTTGTAATAACCAACCGGTTGGTTATTCAGGTTCAGTCAGCTGGCTCTCTCTCTATGTATCTACATGTCTCTATCTATATGTCCCTTCTGTGGCTCTGTCGCCTCTTTTATACCTGATCCTACTTTGCATTCCAAACTATCTTCTGTAATTGGCATGCAACCTGCCATGCTTAAATACATTTGAATAAATTAAAACTAAACTGTAGATAAATTAAACAAATATGCAAATTACATACATGCAAATTTAAACTTATCAGTATTAGTTATGGTTCATTACACCACGTTGTCCCATTCTTCTGCCACTAATTCTAAAGGTAATCTAGTATTATATGACCACAACACCAATGCTTCTCTCTCTTCATTCCACGTTGCGGTTTCTTCATCACAGCCATCATCAGCCACTGTGGTTCTCTGTCCCACATCCGACTGTATGCTGCTTATTATTCTTTCAAATGGTTTGTTTTCATTGTCCTATATCTAGGGAATTTTTTTTCCTATGTCCAACTGATTTCTGAGAGAATCTGACAGAAAAAGTTCATTTTCTTTGCTTTAAAACAGTGTGGCACTATCCTGCGACTTCAGGAGTTCACCGATTCCATACTGGTACTGATTCACTACTTTAAATTTTTTAGCAAATCGTGTAGATCTGCTAGTCCTGTGTTAGTAGTTACTTTATCTTTGCAGGAAATGGGGAGGGGGAATGCCATGTGTCCCTTAGATATTCCACATTGTAAGCACAAGCAAAATGGGCTTGGCATTCCCCATCAGTAGTTAATAGAAGAGTGTGACTTCACTTGAAATATCCTGAAGCACTTGCTGTAAAGTGCATTGCTAATCCCTAATGTTGTCTGCCTCTTGCAGATTTGCTGTGCAGACTCCTCTGTGATTACTAGATTTAGGAGCTGGTTGTCAGTGTAGCAGAGCTTGTTACTAGCATGCCAATATAGGTTGGTCATGGGGAGGAATAAAGATCTTTGTGCACTTTTACCCAGGCCCATAGCCCCATATAAATTCAATCTGACTATTCATTCTCATCTAGTAGGTCTGCAAAGGAGTCTTCCTCTGCGTCATAATCAAAAACCAGCTGCTATACCAATTCATCAATATCCTCCAAAATGACATCATCAACTGTAGGCACTGGTAATTCCTCCCCGAAGACTTCATTCAAAACAGTTATAATTTCTACTGCTACAAGTGGGTGGATTACACTCAAGTTTGTGATTACAAATTCAAAACTGTCAATGTATCTGGTATTTGCAATAACTTCATTTATTAGTCAACCTGAGAAGAAATTGATGCCCAAAACATTTAAATGGCTGCACTTGTCTTGTCATTCACTCAGGAAATCAGCCATCATCTTGTAAGTCTTCATCCTATTGTTCTCTTACTGCTGTTCAGGGTTCAGGCAGACTTTGCACACCAAATGCCAATCTGAGTTCTGCGGGGTATAATCTACTCAAAGGGGCTACTTTATTGTGGTCTACATACAATGAGATTCTTTAGAAATATATATATGCTAATGGTTTACATAGGTGATCTTTACACACAAAGGTAAAACACAGTAAGTCAGTACACAATACAATAGGGGTTCTTAGAAAAATGACTATTAATGATTTGCACATGGAATAGAGTAGTCAGACGGAGACAGATGTCTGGAGCTCGCAATGCTGAGGTGAGATGGACATGTAACATCTCAGAGTTATAAATTTTCATACTAGGAGTGCCACACTATGTTATTGTCTTATTGAGTTATGATATGGCTCCCTCTGCCAGAAAGTTTCGTGCCTGAAACTATTTTAAAACAGTATAACAGAGATAAACAATCTTCTACAGAACAAATCTTGAGTTGACCCATTACCTTTATATATCTATATATTATTATGTATTCAAGAAAAGGGAAAAAAAATCTAATTATTTCTCAGAACCATTATATAACACATTTACAAGTGTATTCCATCATAAGTCAATGGCAAATAACAAATTACAGGTTAAGTCAAATTTACGATTTTACATTTAAAATGGAATAAGGAAAAATATATATGTTCTAACTACTACACATACTATAACTACAAAATAGCAAACTCTGGAACAGAGACAGTCACTAGGAGACATCAGTATGGTTGGTGGAATTTATCAAATATTGATCGATGCTGATTGATCTCTACTAGTATAAGGGCTTCACATTGTGCATGATACAAGCTTAGTTCATTATGGGTATGTAATAGGTTCTCTTGTGGTGTAATGCAACAAGATGTACATCAAAGGGGATTTTTGCCATCCTCTTTAATTTCAAGTAGCTCAGGAGACCAACTTTGACTTCAGTTGGTAGTTTATATTCAAACTTTGAAATGGCATTCATCAGTGTAATATTGCCCCAAGCTATTGTTACTGTAGGCAATGCAGATAATTGAATGTGGTCAATAATATATGACGGTTGACCAGATACCTTTAAATCATGGGGACAGGTGTGTAAGGCCAAAATAGGAATGGTTACACATTGTCTCCCAGTCGTTATTTCCAATGACACTACGTTTTCCTCTCGATTTGAGCAGAGATAAATTGCTATAAAAAGGGAAACTAACACCCAAGATTGCGATGATTACTGAGGCAGTAGGAATATATTCCACACTGATGAGGTCACTGATGGAAAAGGGTATAGAAGTTGTAGAGGGTGTGGTGGGATATTCATAGATGAAGCTGGGTGTGGCATGTGCCTTATTAACTGAAAAAATTGAGGCTGATAAGATCTTTAAACTGTACGCTAATATTAACAATGAAGCTACGGCAACCCCGATTGCTGTATATGTGAGTATATTGTCAAAACTTGGAGCCTGTACAGGTAGTTGTAACTCTCCAGTGTAACTCTCCAGTGAATAGGGGTTCAGCCAGATTGTTAAAGATGGTTTGCTGGTTTCATGCTGCTGAAGCAGCTTTTTCCAGGTTCAGATTTAGTTTGTGTTCTTTTGCTAAAAATTTTGAAAATTTATTTTTAAAAATCTTTATATCCGGGATTGAAATTTTTAGTGTTGAATTAAAAAGTTGTCAGTGGGATTGTAAATCCTACACATGCTCCGATTTTTATCTATAACACACCTAGCCACCGAATAGTTGTTATCGACAGGATCTAACAATAGACTTTTAGAGTTAGCCTTATTTGCTCCAGATATTTTTACAGGAATTAAACTTTCAGTTCAGGGACCTACAGTTATTTTCTGATTGGTACGCACTAGGCCTACATAATTTGGTTTATTTGTGTGACAACTTTTTATCATTAAATGATAGGACGCTGTTTTTCATGTTAAAGGTAGCTCCATTTGCCTTTAGGGTATCAATGCCCAAAATAACATTTCTGGGAAGGCTTTGCAAGATAAAAACTTTATGAGTGAAGGAGTTTTTACCTATAATGAAGTCAATTAAAGCACAACCAATAACTTCCTGAGATTGTTGACAGGTCCAATTTGAAAATCTTAACTGTGGATTATTTTTCATGTTTTAGTTCTCTCATAATGTTATTGGAAATGCAAGTTTTTGATACACCTGTGTTAATCATGGCCTTAACTGTCAGGGTATTAAGATGGATTTTTATCAAATTATGTTCTATAGGGTCCTCTCCCATGATATGTCCCAGAAAACAACTCACCTGTAAATCTTTCAATTTTTCCTTATTACGCAGACACCTCTATTGCTTTATAGTTCTGCAAACCACGGCCAAATGACCAATGCGCTCACAGTTGTGGCATTTCATATTTCGGGCAAAACAATTCAATTCAGTATGAAAAGTCCACTTACCACAACATGAACACTTCTTTCCTTTTCCTCTCCTCTATCTTTCCTCCATTCACTTCTTCTTTATCCACTCCTTTCACGGGTTTTCTCCTTGCTGTTATCCCTAGACAGATCTGTTGGCTGAAATGATACTTTTCTGCTGTTACCTCTGTCTGTTGAGACTACCTTAAGGCTATTGTTGCCCTGGGACAGTAAACGAAGGCTGTCGCCGACTAGTTGAACTAAATCTTTGGGGTCCACAGTCTCTCGTTGAGTGTCCAGTATATTCAACAACTGGATGAGGGTGGGTCATTCCCCTCAAAACACAATCTGGACATTTGCCAACCTGAGGTCAGTAGACCTCTGAGATGCATTCCTTCCGGTCCAAATCTCTGGGTTAACCCGAAGGGCGGTTAATCCTTTGATGTTGGCCGGCCTCTCGTGTTTGTGGCGCAAAGCTGTGAGCTTATCTTCAGGCATTTGTTCCTGACAGATGTCAGTAATTAGTTGCACAAGCAGTTCAGATATAGCTGGCCCCACTCTGTCGACTCCAGTCAGCTGAGCGCTAATTACATCATAAAAATGATCGGCCGCTTTGTTTTGCCCTGTGGTCTCTTCTTCCCCCGCGGAAATATCCTGTGGATCATTTCCAGGGCCCAGTGTAGAAGTAGAATGACCTGTGGTCACTTCAAGGTGAGCAAGTAGACGCTCAAAACAATCATCTCTCTCTTTGAGGGCATCGAAAAACACAGTCTGCATCTCCGTCAGACTGGATGCTAGATCAGTTTTCAAATCGTCCATGAGAGATCCCACGTCCCGAGCTGTTACCAATGAAGTGATAGGAGTAGGCGCCTCCTTGTCGGTAGCCGACTTACTGCTGGCTCTCGTAGCTTTCCCCGACGATTTCGATCCGGTGGATCTATCATCAGGGCGTGCGGTTTTGCTACAGCTTGCTGTAGCCACATCCCCTGTGGGGACCGCCTGACTAGGCTGACCGCTAATGTCCGCTGTCAGTTGCTCAAACAACGACTTGGCCTCCTTGGCCGCCATATTGACAATGACCAGAGAGCCCGTAGTCAACGATCAGATGTACGCAGTCCAGCCAAAACACCGTTCCAGAGTGCGTAAAAGCAACCAAATCGACGTAATAAAGTGTCCAATCTTCCAAAAGTCAAACGATAATAAAGAAAAAACACACCAGTTCTGAGAAGTTAGCGGAAAGTCGCGGAGCAAAGAATAAGCAATGCAACCTGAGAGCACGAAGTCTAGTTCACTGAGCATGCGCGGTCTCGGTTCTATCTCACGTAAGCCCTGTTGTGAATGAAGACGAGGTAGAATTCATGTCCAATGTGGCATGGACGTGTGCTTATATACTTCACTTGAGCTATGTCTCTACATGAATTCTCTATCCATGTCACTGTTACTGGTATGTTGGACCCTGTAACACCATGCAAACTGTGTGAAGTGTCCACACAAAAAAGTCACAGTATTTAGTATCCATAAGAAATGGTTGTGTTTGGACCTGTAATAGCTGCTTTTCTTTGTACTGAACGTAATAAATCGCAGGAAGCTTTCACTCACTATCGTTCACTTACGCTCACTTACACAAGTAACCTTTCACTCTCACGATCGATCCCAGATTTGTTGGTCTAAAACTTCACGTCAGGCAGCTACAACAGGCTCCAGAGTCTACTAATGCTTTACATTTTATTCCCTGTACTGACAGAAGAACACCTAACACTATGATATCTGGACGCTGTACTGCCTGCAGAATCTAGTTTAAATGACCCCGCTGTTGTGCTAACAGTTGTCTACATTCTGACCTAACGTGCCCTGCCTTATTGCAATTGAAACAGACAGGCCGGCCATCCTCTGTCCAATATGTGTTTCGTCGTGTGTGTGGCTTTTGAGAGAAGTTAGCCGCCCGCCGTTAAAAATTACCCTGATGCTGTCTTTGTGGGTTGGGGGAGTTGGAAGACCCTAGTTTCTACTTTGGCCATCCGTGTTTGTAATCGTTCGTTTGTTTGTTTTGTGTTGTTGCGTGAGAGCACTTTCTAATTGTTGTGCAGTATTTGTAAATTTTGCCAGTATTGCGTCAAGCTGCGTTTGTTTTGTTTGTGTCATGCTTCTGTTGTGTCTGTCTGGCCCAGTAGCGCCTATTTCCATGTCTTCCTCTATTCTTGCGTTTTGTGTTACAACATTTGTCTGTTGTTCCCTCAAATTTTCTCCTACTCCTATGATTTGTCTAAAAATTTCCCTCCCCGAATTTTCTTGCTCTGTCCACGTAATGGCCTCCTCCAGCGTGGCAGGCCAACCTCTTACCATAAGTTCCTCTGCCATATTTCTATTTGACAAAGCACGAACGTATGCCCTGATGACGAAACGCTCAGTTTCTCCCTGTCTAGGTACGTTGAACGCTCTATTAGCGCTCTCCCTGAATCGCCTATTAAACGTTGTAAGAGTTTCGAACACCGACTGCCTTAAAACTTCTAATTCTGATTTAAGCCTTTCTTCCTCATTAGCCGACAAAAAATGATCTCTGTCTGTAAGATTTAATAGCCGCCCACGTCATCCCATTCCTATCTGCCTGCGTATTTAAAAATCTATTTCCCATCTCAGAGCTCCTTTTGATGTTCTGGTGACTAATTTGATGATACCCCCCCGGTACGTCATGTATTCCTACATTAACCACATCTAATTCGTCTATATAGGCTCTAACCTCTGACGGGATATTCCCGTTGCATGTAGTAACACCACTTGTCGCATCCTGCACCCTGGAGTTCATCACCTCCCGTCTATGCTGCCCTTGTTTATCGTGCGTCATAACTCGAAGAGCTTCTGCGAGTTTGGCCAACTCCACAACACCAGCCAGTTGTCCTTGAGCCATTGCAGTTTTGAGTTTTCTGTGCACACTTTTGAAGGACTGGACGAGCCCGCAAAAATATGTACTGAACATACTAAATCGTAGGAAGCTTTCACTCACTATCGTTCACTTACGCTCACTTACACAAGTAACCCAGCAGGCAAATTGTTGTTTTAACGTTGAAACAACATTGAACCATAATGTTGAGAAGACATTGATTTGAAAGTTGTGTCAACCTCAGATAACAACGTTGTATCAACATCAGAAAACAATGTTATGTCAACCCCACCCAGCGGGAAATTAGCCTGGATGTGTTTAGCAGTAGGACATGTTTGATGGCTAAATATATGTAGGGTAGTAATGTATGGCCTTTAAGTTAAAATTTCCAAGATTTAGATTAATATATATAGTTCTTTTCTTATATATATATATATATATAACTACATGTATGTATAACAAAGTCACAGTCACCTCAACCTGTCTATCTATAACAGGTTACCAAGAACTGTTAACTCCGTCACACTTACAGCAACTTATTCATCCTAGTGTTAGCTGACCTTGCAAGGAATTCAGTTTATTGGAATGTATTTCTGAATAACAAGTTAAGAAAATTCACTAGTTAACTAAAGACACAAAACAACTGTCACTTTTACTTTAAACCATTTTGTAATTATTTTGATAAATTTAGTTACAGTATTGATAAACAAAGTATCACGTTTTCGATAATTAATATTTTAAATTACAATCCATAACTGCAAGGTTGTGTCATTGACCAAAATACAACATTGAGTCAACGTCACATTATGACGGTGTTTCGACGTGGCTGGATCAACAATGATTTTACATTGAAATTAGGTTGATCAATGGCAATTCAACGTATCAACCTGTTTTCAATGTTGATCCAACGCAACTATGCCTGCTGGGAACCTTTCACTCTCACGATCGATCCCAGATTCGTTGGTCTAAAACTTCACGTAAGTGTGTACCACAGAAACCAAGTCAACCACAAGGATAAATCAACGTAACAATGCTTTATTCAACAACTGACCAAGATTCATAACAAATACAATCTTATATACAACTTTCTTTTATCGCGACGATCTTATGCAGATTTTCTGCTGCAGGTCCATTTCCTATCAGCGCCCCAAAAGTTAATGGATTCTATTTACATAATTACGTCATCAGGATCGTCTCTTGATCCCCGTGCGCTCCCAACACCTCCTTC